CACACACACACACACACACACACACACTACGGTCCGCGGCGCCGCTGGACACAAAGACACACACACAGTCAGCGGGTCAGCCTGACCCAAGGTCGCGCCGCTCAGCTGACATGAGTGAGGGTGACGGCGCAGGTCTGCTGAAACCCGGGTGCTGTGCCTCGCCGTAGACCGGCAACCCTGGTTGGGTTGCTGGCAATCAGGAGTGGGGCGAGGCGTTCGTTTGCTCTTTGCAGTCAGTCGGTGGCCATCAGAACGTATGCGCGTCCTGCAGTTATTTATTTGTACAAAAAAGGCAAAAGCCGCCGTTCCGGGTGAAGCTTAGGGGGCAGACCACTTGCCTGGCACGGTTGAGGACGGGGTTCGACCCGCAACACTACAAAAGGGAAAGAAAAGCAAATGCAACCTCCTAAGGTAAACCGGAAGAGCAGAAGAGAAAAAAGAGAACCCGCGTGTGTGTGTGTGTGTGTGTGTGTGTGTGTGTGTGTGTGTGAGAGAGAGAGAGAGAGAGAGAGAGAGAGAGAGAGAGAGATTGATTATGAAACATCCTTTCTGGCAGTGAGTATATATAGGGATGACCCTCTTGGAGGACGTGAAAGTGAGATTCACCTTTCCTACACCAAACCCAGCACCATTACCATCCACTAAATGTTTAGAAAATACTGTCAGGATATGAAGATTTGTCAGTAAGAATGACGGTGGTGACACCTTTAATCCCAGCACTCTAGGATATTCCATCGTTCCAAGACTACACAGAGAAGCCCTGTCTCAGAAAACAAAAGCAGAGCCGGGTGTGGTGTCGCAGCACGTAGGCAGAGGCAGGCCGATCTCTGAGTTTGAGGCCAGCCTGGTCTACTGAGCGAGTTCTAGGATAGACTCCTAAAGCTACACAGAGAAACCCTGTCTCCACACACACACACACACACACACACACACACACACACACACACACACACTTATCAGTAAGTCTCAAAATATTTCTGTGTGTTTGTGCCATGATGCTTGTGTGAATTCTTTCTCTCCCACCATGTAGTACCCGGAGACTGAATTCAAGTGGTCAGGCCTGGCTGGCTTTTTTATTTTTTATTTTTTATTATTTTGGTTTTTTTGAGACAGGGTTTCTCTGTGTAGTTTTGGAGCCTGTCCTGGATCTCACTCTGTAGGCCAGGCTGGACTCGAACTCACAGAGATCCACCTGGCTCTGCCTCCCGAGTGCTGGGACTAAAAGCGTGGGCCACCACTGCCCAGCCTAGCTGGCACTTATTACATAATCAGCTTGTATTTACTACACTCATTAATAGTCTAGAGGGTTCAGTAAATAAAGGCACTCACCACAAAGCCTGACAACCCGAGTTAGATCCGAGACCCACACAGTGAAAACAAAGAACTGTCATTTCCACCCTGACCTATGTGTCCACATACATAGTAACCTTTTTTGTTTGTTTTTTAGAGACAAGGTTTCTCTTTGTAGATATGGCTGTCCTGGAACTTGCTCTGTAGAAGGCACATAGATCCCCCTGAACTTTTTTTTTTTTTTTCAGTCTGATTAAAAAATAAAGGGGCTGGAGAGATGGCTCAGTGGTTAAGAGCACTGACTGCTCTTCCATAGGACCCTGGTTCAATTCCCAGCACCCATATGGCAGCTCACAACTGTCTGCGGCTTCAATTCCAAAGGATCTGATACCTTCACACAGACATACATAGATACAGGCAAAACACCAATAAAATAAAATTAAATAAATAAAAATGTCTGGCTGGAGAGGTGACTTGGGTTTTGGAGCATTCTTTGCTCTTGGAGAGGACCCAGATTGCATTTACAGGACCTACATGTGGTGCTTTACAACCATCTGTAATTCCAGTTTCAAGGGATCCCATGCTCTCCTCTAACTTCGCTGGGCACCAAGCACATATGTGGTGAACATACAAGCAAAGCACCCCGTAAGATAAAATGGATAAATCTGAACTGGTTGGCAGTGGTGCACAGTGCACGCCTTTCATCCCAGCATTTGGAGGCAGAGGCAGCCGGATCTCTGTGAGTTCAAGGCCACACTGGGAACACAGCCAGGCGTGGTGGCACACGCCTTTAATCCCAGCACTAGGAAGGAAGGAAGATGGCAGGGCACAGGAAGGTAGACAAGCGTGAATAAACAGCAAGTCTCTCTCTCTCTTGAGGCTGAGGATTTCATAGAGGTTAGAACTTTGTGGCTGGCTTGTTTGGTTTCTCTGACCTTTCACCTTTCACCCCAGTATCTGGCTCCGGGTTTTCTATTAATAAGACTGTTTACCAACTTGTGTTACAGTCCCAAGGACTGGGGATGTGTCTACCATGTACGATGGACTCAGCACTGCATAAAAAAATTTACAGATGAGGTAGCACATTCCTGAATCCCAGCACTGGGGAAGCAGAGGCAGGTGGATCTCTGTGAGTTCTAGAACAACCTGATTACATTGCAAGTTCCAGGACAGCCAGGGCTGTACACACACACACACACACACACACACACACACACACACACACACACAGTAGTTAAATAGATATTTTAACTAGTATAACTAATAATATATATAAGAAAATATACAAGTGACCAGTAGGCTCAAAGCACTGGACATTATCAGTAACAGCAAAACCCAAGTTAAACTAACAAGAGCGGGAATGTAGCTTACTTGGCAGTGTTTGCCTAGTATACATGGAGCTCTAGGTTCCAACCTCAACACCACATAAACTGAGGAACAGCACAGTTCTGTAATCCAAGCACTCGGGAGGTAAAGGCTGGAAGATCAGGAACTCAAGGCCACCGCTGGCTACACAGCAAGTTTGAGGCCAGTCTAGGCTCCATGAAACCATGTTCCAAAGGGAAGGGGGTAGGAGAGGGGCTGGAGAGATGGCTCAGCAGGTAAGAACACCTAACGGTCTGCAGAAGACCCTGGTCTTGTCCCCAGCACCCATAGCAGATGGCTCGGTCCCAGGGGATCTAACATCTGGACTCTGTAGGCACTGCGCACGCGTGACGCTGCATACAGGCATACACACATACCCAGAAAATAAAGACAAATCCTTAAAATCCTTAACTGTCTGTCGATGCTGCTTCTGGGCGCTCATCGTAATTTTGAAGTCCCACTTGATTTCTAGCTTCCATAAATTTTGCTTCATTTTGGGTGGCGGTGGCTCACGCCTTTAATCCCAGCACTCGGGAGGCAGAGGAAGGTGAATCTCTGTGAGTTCGAGGCCAGCCTGGGCTACAGAGTGAGTTCCAGGACAGTCAGGACTGTTTCACAGAGAAAACCTGTCTTGAAAAACCTAAATAAATCAATAAAAGCAAGACATATGTGTGAGTTCACTGCAGAGTTGACAGAAAACTTTGCTCCATTTTGAGGCCCTCTCGCTCCCTCACCTCGGCATCCTCTCCCATTTCATATTCCACTCTTTAAAGATGCCCTTTTCCTCACAATGGCCTCTCTGATGTGTCAGTCACCCGGCAGGGCTTACTTCTCAAGTGGCCGTTCCTCTGGACCTGAGCCATGCATTTATCACAGGCTTCCAACAGAGCAGCTCTGAACAGCAGTGGCCTCTGGGCTTCCGAACAATCCTCCTCACCCCCCTCCCCAGCAATGGCCTCATTCTGTCCCGCTTCCTTTTCTAACCCTGAGAAGATGATGGATTTCCCTTCCTCTCTTGCTAACGGTTTCACGGCACTCTGGCCACTATTGACCTAGTGTCTTCCGGTGCCCAGAGCAGGTCCTGAGCGACCCAGAGCTCTGTTCCCTGGATTCCGGAGTGAGGGCTTCAATGTTTCGACACCCCCTCTGCCTCTGTCAGTTCCCACCTCTCACTCCTGGCCTGGTAGCCCAGGCTGAACTCCCAGCACTTGAGAGGGAGGCAGGCATCAAGTTCAAGGTAAGCCTTTAGTATGGGGGCTAAAAAAAAAAAACCAAAAAAAAAACCAACTTTTTTTTTAAAAAATGATCTATTGGCCACACTAAACCATTCCCAGAGGCCAGCCTGGTCTACACAGTGAATTGTCTTAAACACACACATACCCAAAGCCCAACGAAGACTTACAATATGTGCACAGGTTTCTCAGTGAATTCAGACCACAACAGGGGATCAAGCTAATCAACATATTCATTGCCTACACTACTAACCCTTTATAGGATGGTGGCAAGGTATTTTAAGTACCTTGGTTCTGCCTGTGTGAATGTCTGAAGGCATCAGTTCCCTTAAAACAGGAGTTATGAGCTGTCACGTGGAGTCTTGAGAATTAAACCCGATTTCTAGGGAAGAGCAACTGCTGAGCCATCTCTCCAGCCCCTGAACATTTAATTTTTTCAGGTGTTTACTACATGTATGGAGTGGGGTAAACATGTACAGTGCATGTGTGGAGGTCAAAGGCCAACTTCTCACAAGCTTGTTCTTTCACCAAGTAGACTTGAGATTGAACCGAGACCATCAGGCTTGATGCCGACATCCTTTACCCAGTCATTGTCTCTTCTTTGTGCGTTCTCAAGGTCAGCATGTTTACTGATGTTTGTCCAAGTCCTCCAAGATTCTTGGTGTCGTTTCTTGGGAGGGCGGGGAGACCAACCCAGGCAGTAGAAGCAGTAGGAAGCGTCTCCCAGCGTCAGTCAGTGTCATGGTCAGTCAGTGCACCCA